AAATAAACTGTTTAATTGATTAGTATATGTTAGTTTATATTCACTATAGCGTCATCTGCAGTACCGTCAGGTAATGTGTTTTGCATTCTTATGCAGTTTTAAGAGTGTTATGTGTGTTAAAACTTAAAGATAGCATATCTTAATTTACAGATTACTTTATTTATTTGTTTTTTTGTCTCTACATTAGCACCTCAAGCAATAATATCAGGTTATCTGTTTAGCATACTTATGCAAATTTATGGGTTTTATGTGTATTTAAACTTAATCATTATTGTTTTCATGCAATTACATAAATGTTTAACATATGTTACTTTATACACTTTTTTTTTTTTTTTACCTTTACAATAGCATCAATATCATCTGCAGTACCATCAGGTAATGTGTTTTGCATACTTATGCAGTTTTATGGGTTTTATGTGTATTGAAACTTAAACATTACTTTTTTCATATTTGTTATCATTTACATAAATTTTTAAAATATGTTACTTTATACACATTTTTTTTTTGTTTTTTACCTTCACAATAGCATCAATATCATCTGCAGTGCCATCAGGTAATGTGTTTTGCATACTTATGCAGTTTTATGAGTGTTATGTGTATTGGAACTTAAACATTACTTTTTTCAAGTTTGTAAACAATTACATAAATGTATAAGATATGTTACTTTATACACTTTTTTTTTTTTTATATTCACAATAGCATCAATATCATCTGCAGTACCATCAGGTAATGTGTTTTGCATACTTATGCAGTTTTATGGGTTTTATGTGTATTGAAACTTAAACATTACTTTTTCCATGTTTGTAAACAATTACATAAATGTATAACATATGTTACTTTATACACTTTTTTTTTTTTTATATTCACAATAGCATCAATATCATCTGCAGTACCATCAGGTAATCTGTTTAGCATACTTATGCAGTTTTATGGGTTTTATGTGTATTGAAACTTAGGCATTACTGTTTTCATGCAATTACATAAATGTTTAACATATGTTACTTTATACACTTTTTTTTTTTTTTTTTACCTTTACAATAGCATCAATATCATCTGCAGTACCATCAGGTAATGTGTTTTGCATACTTATGCAGTTTTATGAGTGTTATGTGTATTGAAATTAAACATTACTTTTTTCATGTTTGTTATCAATTACATAAATGTTTAACATATGTTACTTTATACACTTTTTTTTTTTTACTTACACAGGCATCAATATCATCTGCAGTACCATCAGGTAATGTGTTTTGCATACTTATGCAGTTTTATGGGTTTTATGTGTATTGAAACTTAAACATTACTTTTTTCATATTTGTTATCAATTAGATAAATGTTTAAAATATGTTACTTAATACATTTTTTTTTTTTTTTACCTTTACAATAGCATCAATATCATCTGCAGTACCATCAGGTAATGTGTTTTGCATACTTAGGCAGTTTTATGAGTGTTATGGGTATTGAAATTAAACATTACTTTTTTCATGTTTGTTATCAATTACATAAATGTTTAACATATGTTACTTTATACACTTTTTTTTTTTTTATTTTCACAGTAGCATCAATATCATCTGCAGTACCATCAGGTAATGATGTAATTTAATGTAAAACTTAAAGATTGCATATTTTATTTTGCACATCACTTTATTTTTTTATTTTTTTGTCTGTACATTAACACCTTAAGCAATAATATCAGGTAATCTGTTTAGCATACTTATGCAGTTTTATGATTTTTATGTGTATTGAAACTTAAATTTTTTTAAATGTGTTTTGCATGCTTATGCAGTTTTATGAGTGTTATGTGTATTGGAACTTAAACATTACTTTTTTCGTGTTTGTATGCAATTACATAACTGTTTAATATATGTGTTTGTTTATATACTTTTTTATTTATTTCTGCAATAGCAACAGTATCAACTGCAGTACCACCAGGTAATGTGTTTTCCATACTTATGCAGTTTTTCCGTATTTATGCAGTGTTATGTGTATTGAAACTTAAACATTACTTTTTTCGTGTTTGTATGCAATTACATAACTGTTTAATATATGTGTTTGTTTATATACTTTTTTATTTATTTCTGCAATAGCAACAGTATCAACTGCAGTACCACCAGGTAATGTGTTTTCCATACTTATGCAGTTTTTCCGTATTTATGCAGTATTATGTGTATTGAAACCTAAACATTACTTTTTTCATGTTTGTATGCAATTACATAACTGTTTAATATATGTGTTAGTTCATATACTTTTTTATTTTTTTCCATAATAGCAACAATATCTGCAGGACCATCAGGTAATCTGTTTTGCATACTTATGCAGTTTTGTGGGTGTTATGTGTATTTGTGTAGGTATATATGAAATTTAAACATTGCATATCCTTATTTTTACATTACTTTATTTATTTATTTTTTTTGTCAAAACTTTTTTTTTTTTGAAGTCTAAATAGTTTTAGATAATATTTTTATTGGTTGTTTTGTGCAGTATTGTATTCAAATTTATTTCTTTTTTTTGTTTTTGTTTTTTAGCATCGCATCAAGATTTCCTGCATATCGCTCCCAGCACCCAGGTCCAATATCTTCATTGAATTTTTAAAAAAATGTTTTTTTTAATTTCGCAATTTTTTATTATTTTAATTTATATACTTTTACTATTTTATTTTTCTGATTTTTAATTCTGTTTTTAAATCCTAAACTAACAAAGAACTCTTATGTTATAAAAGTTTTTAATAATTTGTCTATAAGTTTTTTTATTAATTTACATTTTTACATCTTTCTATCCTCATTTTTAATTTTAATAATACTAAATTTTCTTTTGTATTAACTTTTATTTGTTAAGTGTTATATAGTTTTTGAAAGATTGGGTAAATATATTTAAAGTTTTTCTTTTTCTATGATATATTCTATATATCATAGAAAAAGAAATTTAATAAATTAATATGTGTATAGTGCATATATTTCTATATATGCACTATACACATATTAATCTCTTTACATTATTCTCTTTAGATATATTATAAAATAGTATTTAAAATCAGTTGTCAGCCACATGTGGTCTATATGATGCAACATGTTTGCAATTGTTGGCATGTCATTTAAAAATATGTAACTAATTTTGCTTTTCAATATTACCATTAATATGAATTTTAAAATAATAAAATTTTTTATTTGTTTCAAAAAATACTGTTTTATTACTTACAATATAGTATGTTAATACAAGATACTTCTGGCTTTTTTCTCTGTTTCAAACCAGTTTAGTTATATCCTTTGTTCACAAATTTTATTAGACGCTATACACATAGTTTCATAGGTTTAAACTGATAAATAGCACTTTATTGTTTTTGTTCATTTTAAATTAGTATAGCAAAAAATTATTAAGATAAAGTTTTATCAAACATAAATAATTTCTCAATTATGTCAAGTAACTTAAGAGCTGAAAATAGAAGAAATCGTCGAAATGAAAGAAATGAGGCCAGACGAGAAGTAATTAATCGTTGCCAAAATGAGAGAAATGAGGCCAGACGAGAAGCAATTAATCGTCGCCAAAATGAAAGGAATGAGGCTAGACATGAAGAAGTTAATCGTCGCCAAAATGAAAGGAATGAGGCTAGACGTGAAGAAATGAGAGAAATAAGGCCAGACGAGAAGCAATTAATCGTCGCCAAAATGAAAGGAATGAGGCTAGACATGAAGAAGTTAATCGTCGCCAAAATGAAAGGAATGAGGCTAGACGTGAAGAAGTTAATCGTCGCAAAAATAAAAGAAATGAGGCTAGACGTGAAGAAGTTAATCGTCGCCAAAATGAAAGGAATGAGGCTAGACGTGAAGAAGTTAGGCTACTGTTTTGCATCATATTAACTTTATGTGAACCTGATGATCCTTTACACCTTTGGAATACATTTAAAAATTATATGGTTGAGGATTACATACACCATTCGATGCCAGTCGTACTTGCTGAGCAGGCAGCTCTTCGTCAAATTGAATCTAAAATTAATCAGAGTGGTAAAACCTTAGCTGATTATAATTTGCCAGCTTTAGATCAGTTTTTAGATAATGTCCCAGAAAATGATGATGAAGATGTTCAGGTGTTTATTGATGAAGCGAACCGAGTTAGACCATTATTGAATAATAATCAACGTAATGTAGCTGATGCGATCCTTGCTGCACTAAGTGTGGAACCTACTAATGAAAATAAGCATTCAAGGTTGTTTTTTATGGATGGGCCTGCCGGTTGTGGTAAAACATTTACTTACAAGTATTTAACTTCTGAGCAAGCATATTAGAACTGCAACAGCTGCATGGACAGGAATAGCTGCAACTCTTCTCAAAAATGGGTGCACAATGCATGGCTTATTCAAACTTCCTGTTCCAATTTTGGAAACTAGCATATGTAATGTAACTCCAAACTCTATTCATGGTAGATTCCTGAGACAAATCAGTTTGTATTTACTTGATGAAGCATCTATGATACCCAAATATGCTTTGAGTGCCATTGATAAGCTATTAAAAGATATGTGTAATAACAACTTTCCTTTTGGTGGTAAGGTTATTCTTATGGGTGGAGACTTCAGCCAAATACTTCCAGTTGTGAAGCGAGGTCGACCAGCAGAAGTTATAGAATCATGTTTAAAATGTTCTGAACATTGGCAATATGTGCAAAGGTTCTCATTAACTGTAAACATGAGGGTTCAGTTAGAAGAAGAGGAATTTTCTCAATGGCTTTTAAAGCTTGGAAGTGGAACATTACCTGTCAAGCCTGAAGATCCTTTGCAAGGGTGTATTGAAATACCTTAGCAGTGCTTTTTCAGTGATAATGAATCTATTGTGGAGAAGATTTTCGGTGGTGCAGAAGAAGCTGATTATGCAAAACGTGCTATTTTAACGCCAACAAATGTTGATTCATTGGCAATAAATGAAGAAGTCCTTCATCGCTTACCCGGTGATGTGAAAAGATATTTAAGTTCAGATAGCATTGATACTGATGATCTTAATGAAATTAATAACTTTCCAGTCGAGTTTTTAAATAGTTTGACTCCATCAGGTATGCCTGTTCATTGTCTAAAATTAAAAATTGGTGCTGTTATAATGCTACTTAGAAATTTAGATCTCAAAGGTGGACTTTGTAATGGAACCCGTTTGATGGTGCGTGCATTACACAACAATTATATTGATGGTGAGGTTTTAACAGGTGTATCAGCTGGTAACAGGGTATTTGTTCCTCGAGTTCAATTAGCTCCATCAGATGCAAATTTACCTTTTACACTTAAACGCCGTCAGTTTCCAGTTAGGTTGGCATACTCAATGACCATAAATAAAAGTCAAGGTCAAACATTTGAAAAAGTTGGTGTTTATCTCAAAAAACCTTGCTTTTCACACGGCCAATTATATGTTGCATGTTCAAGAACAAGATCATTTAATAGTTTGTTTTTCAAAGTTGATAAACATCCATTACAAGGTATGTCATTTAACAAACAATACACAAATAATGTTGTCTTTACAAATGTTCTTAATTTATAATTTTGACAAGTATATTATGTGTTATATGTGTTTTATATTTTTTGTATGTTTTTTTTTTTTTTTTTGCTATATGTGTATATAAATGTATGTGTTTATATGCGTTCATATATCTTTATTTATATTTATGTGCTTAAGTTTATACAAGTTTATATTAAGTTGTTTCCATGTGAAAAGTGGTGTTACTTGGCAACGTGTAGTGCAAGATTGTGATTCTTGCTAGCCAAGCGGTGTTACTAATTAGTGGTGTTACTTGGCACTTAATGCCAAGCGGTGTTACTAAATTGTGGTGTTACTTGGCAGCGTTTAGTGCCAAGCGAATTACAAGTGTTGAGCTAGGTTGTGTTGTCTAGCTTTTTTAATTATTCTGGAAACACATAATCTGAATATTTTGTGTTATGTGCAAATGTGTTATGTACAAATATTTGATGCTATGTGTATTCAGTAGCATAGGCAGGGTCTTTTGATGCTTCAGATAGCACTTTCAACCAAACTTAAGTGTATTCACGTTTATAGAATTAAAATACTTTGCAAAAATTGATGTTTTTAAAGCTTAGGAACAAATGTTTAAAAAAAGTGTTTTTTCTAACCTGAATTTTTTTAGACATAACAAAGTTAAACTCTTCAACAGCTTCTAAATATATATCTGAAACAACAAAAATCCTGCCTACACTACTGGTGTTATTGTTTGTCATCCTGTAATGTTGTTGTGATGTTTTGTATTGATAGACAGCTTGGCTTACCTTCACGTTGGTGTCTATCGTTAAAAATGATTATTGGGTAGCTTCATTACTGAAACTTACTCCTAATCATTCACTAAAAGCCAACAAATATTTTAAGAAAAAATGCCTAATTTTTTTGTGTCAGTAAGAATTTTTATCTTTAGCAATGCTGATAAAACTGAATTTTTTTAAAAAAAGAGTTATTCCAGCCTTCCAACCAAATATTAGAGACTTTTAAAAAAGCACTCTCACAAAGTAAGTATCTAATATTTATTTAATATTACTAAATTTTGTTTCGTTTTTTTCATTTCTCAAATGAATTAACATAAAACAAATAAATGTGCATTCAGTGTTATCAATAATATTAATAAGACTATTTCTGAACGTAATAGTCGTGGTTCAAATTTACCACCAGCAATTTTTTTCTTTAAATTACAAAATATTTGTGAAGTTAAACAAGTTAAATGTTATACACTTTAACTGTTTTTTCTTTTTAAATTTTATAATTTTTTTGGATTTCTAAAAACACCAATAAACGGGGCGAAAATTTGTTGCGTGTGTGTCACGATTTTGATACTGTTCTCACATAATTGGTCCTAATAAGCTACGGATAGTCTTAAAAAAAAGGTCCTAAAACCTAATAAAGAAAAAAATTGATAAAACCGTCCTGCTACTCCACATGGTATTGCAGTGGAGGCAGGGGAAAAAAAAGCAATTAAAAGGTTTTTTGTTTTATTTAATTTTTTGCTATAAATATAGCCAGATTAAAAAAATGTATTGAGATTTTTTAGACGCGGATTTGAAGCCTTGCACAGCAAATCTGATGACAGCGCACTTAACTTGTGAGCTATCAAAGTTATGCATGTAGTTAGGCGCTTCAACATTTTTTTAAAAATGTAAAATGAAAACAAAATAAATACCATAAGTAAGAGCTAAATAATAACGTTTAAAAATTACCAAACTTTTTGTTATATTATTATTAGTTTTTCAACTTTTAAACCACAAAATTTATAATTTATTTTTTTGCATGACTTTTTACGCTTTAAGCGACTAACGTTTTAAAGAATTGCATTACCGTTTCCGTCTAATACAAAGGTAACTATAAAAGACCGTTATTATTCAAAACTAAGCATATAATAATAATAATAAATATAGTAAATAGTAACTATTGAAAAAGGCTAGGACGCGACCATAAACCATGGTCCATGGCTGGTCTAAATGTAGGAAGTAGTTAAGCTCAGAAATTAAAAAAAAAATAAAAATAAACGGGGTTTAATAAGCTATATACGTATGCCAAAAAAGTGCGTATGTTAAAGTTTTTTTTTACTCTCTAAGCAAATTTTTTTGATGAATTTTTTTCCACCGTTTACTAAAAAATATTGAAGTAAATAAGGAACAAGTAAAGAAATAATTGGCGTGGAATAAATAAATATAGAAGTAGAAGAAAAGACCTGTATTTACCGATATGGACAGCTAGATTAAGAAAATAAGGGAAAAGGTTTGTGTGGAATAGAATTACAAAGACCCGTATTTTTACGGGTCAATCCAGCTAGTATATATATATATATATATATATATATATATATATATATATATATATATATATATATATATATATATATATATATATATATATATTTATATTTATATATATATATATATATATATATATATATATATATATATATATATATATATATATATATATATATATATATATATATATATGTATATATATATATATATATATATATATATATATATATATATATATATATATATATATATATATATATATATATATATATATATATATATATATATATATATATATATATATATATATATATATATATATATATATATATATATATATATATATATATATATATATATATATATATATATATATATATATATATATATATATATATACAGTGTTGGATATCATTTTAATCAAAAAGTTCAACTAAATGTTTTAAATCATAAACGATGATTTTTGATTTTAATTTTAAAATATTTTCTGCATAATTTTTTTATTTTAATGCCTTAAAAATTGCGTTAAAATCATTTTTGACGTAAAAAAAACTTTGGGATTTCAACTAACTACAAATTAATTATCAAAGCGTGATGCATGAATTTATTTTAATGCTTCCCGGTACTAATTACCTTTTTAGGTATCAGAATTTATTTAGTCTATGTTTAGGGTTGCCATTCTCTATTTTCCGTATGAAAGCGCGGCGTTAAAATTTGTCCAGTTTTTTTCTTTGAACATCAGTTGTTTGGAATTCGCTTCCTTCATATTGCTTTCCTAATTCATATAATTTGCAATCTTTTAAGTCCTCTGTCAGTCGTTATCTTGCTCTACAATCTTCATCTTTTCTCTTTCAGTAACTTCCAACACTAATTAGTGGTTGCTTGCAGCCTTGTTGGAAGCGAAGATGGTTATATATATATATATATATATATATATATATATATATATATATAAAATATATATATATATATATATATATATATATATATATATATATATATATATATATATATATATATATATGTATATTTATATATACCTATATATATATATATATATATATATATATATATATATATATATATATATATATATATATATATATATATATATATATATATATATATATATATATATATATGATAAGATGAAGATTAGTTTATCATATATATATATATATATATATATATATATATATATATATATATATATATATATATATATATATATATATATATATATATATATATATGATAAGATGAAGATTGTAGAGCAAGATAACGATTGACAGACGACTTAAAAGATTGCAAGTTATGTGAATTAGGAAAGCAATATGAAGGAAGCGATTTCCAAACAACTGATGTTCGAAGAAAAAAACTGGACAATTAAGAGTTTTTGGAGCACTTAGGAACAGTAACAGAAAATCATTAGGTTATTTACAGCTTTAATCTTACAGTAAAAGTGGAAAATTCGATAACCTGAATAAAAAATGAAAGTATGACAACTTATTATTACAACTTTGATGTATATAAGAATATTGCATATTATACTGCTGCTATTGTTGTGTATATTATTTCAATATTAATTCACTATAGTTGCATTATTTTATAGATTACAAAAATAATATCAAAGTTGCAGAATTTAATTGCCATACTTTCATCTTTTATTCAGGTAATCGAATTTTCCACTTTTACTATAAGATTGAAGCTGTAAATAACCTAATTATTATTATTATTTCTTTATACATCTTTATTTCCATCAAAGCTGTGAGCAGCCACTATTAGAGTTGAAAGTTACTGGAAGAGAGAAGATGAAGTGTTTATAGAGCAAAATAACAATTACTGAGTATAATACCTACGTCACACCCAACACGCAACTCAACATACGCGTTTCTTTGAGTACACAACTTATCATACCCGTTTTTGTTGGATAAAATTCTAAATACGCAACTAATTATGTTGGCAATAGGTCTAGGAAATGTATGCAGTGAGCAGGTTGCTTTTGGAATGCTCAAAAAAAAAAAGAATGAAAAGGGACAACATTAAACCTGGATACAAGTTTCCTTTAAAGACTTATGAAAAAAACCTTATTGTTGCTGTTAGCACACTTGATAATAAAGGTAGCAGATCACACCTTTAAATATTTACAAAAATGCTTTGTAAAAATATGCGACAAACTTGAAAAAACTTATCAAAGATAGTATTAAAACCTTGTATATCAATTAAGATTGAGGAGTTTCATAACACTTTATTAGAGTTTTATGATGTAAAAATTAAATAATCTATTTCAGGAAATGAAGGTATAAATCATAGTTTGGTATTTGTAAAAAATACTTCTTATTCAATTTTTTGCATGAATAAAGAGAAAGGTTTGGATACTTATTGTACTGTTAATAGGAATTCAGTTGACCGTGGATAAAGTTTTTTTAAATGTATTGTAAGTGTTTTCGATCAGTTACGCAAAAATACAAGAAAGTGTAGATTCCGGTGTAAAAAGATCATTGGTTTTAGCTTTAGTTGAAGATGCTTCAGAACATAATGAAAATCTTAGCAAACTATTGAAACCACTAGCTCTTAATATTATGTAAAATATTCAATATAATTTGATTTACAATGTGACAAACCTTCATTTAGTTTAAGTAGCCAGAGTGGCAAGTATGCTTGTCTCTGGTGTGAAAGAGAAAGTACTTATAAAAGCGAAGAAAAAGTACTTTATGTTCAATTGATACCAATTACAATAACTTCCTGTAGATAGATGCAAAAGTTGTCGCATTAAGGAATATATTGTATATATATATATAATATATATATATATATATATATATATATATATATATATATATATATATATATATATATATATATATATATATATATATATATATATATATATATATATATATATATATATATATATATATATATATATATATATATATATATATATATATATATATACATACAAAGGAATCGTTAACAAAGTATAGCATAAAATAAAATCCACAAATGCTGTAATATGCAAAAAAACATATTTTAACGAACCATCATTATTTAATTAAAGCGGGAAACTTGTAGAAGACCGATGGTCTACATTCATAAGTTGATATTTATAGACTAAATAATGTCCTGAGTTTATTGTCAGTTTGGAAAGCATAAGAATAAAAAATAAATAAAAAGAATGCAGAAAAAATTGCTAATCTTAAATAAACATTTTATACATTTATATTTTGGTTCATAGTTTACTATATTGGATATATAGTTCATATACGCATAAATAAACTTGAAAATTGTAGGCAGAATTTTCCTATCTGTTATTATTTTTTTGTATTTATAAATATTATTTATCGTTTTGTTTTGGTTTTACTATTTTATTTTTTTAATAATAAAAGTGCATAAAACAATCTGTGATTAAAATGAGATCAATATTGTTTTAAGAGAATACAGATTAATCAATTTGGTAAATTTAATATTAAGGTAAGAACCACGATATAAAGTAGAGAAGTAAGAAAAATTTGTTTTTTTAAATGGTCTTTTTCTCTTGTGTCATCTATTTTTGCTATTATAAAAAAAATTTTTTGAGAAATTTGGATTTAAGATTACTCGTCCATGCAAAGTTAGAGTATGTATAAAAGTTTTTATAAAAAAGAAACTTTAAATTATTTTGGAAAGCAAAAGATTAATTTTATATAGCATACCGGTGTATTTTGATATTTTGTTAT